TTTTTTATTATTTTCTTTTTTCATTCCTTTAATTTTTATTTATTCAATTATTATATTTTTACTTGTAGGTTATTTCACTATCAATTTCATTTCAGGTTTATTTTGCTTAATATAATTGTTATTTTCAGCTATTCATTTTTAATTCTTCTTTTTTAGTTGTTTCAGGGATTTCAAATCATTTTATATAGTAGACAATGGAAGTCCGAACTAGTGAAAATCTTATTTGATCGAACTAGGCATGTTTTTTTGTCTTGGTTCTCCTGGACTCTTCCATTGAAACTTCGTCAAAATTTTGTACTAGGTACACTGTACCTAGATATACAAAATTTTCATGTTGCCATGTAATAAACGAAATATGAAATCTATATTGATTGTGCCAGTATTGTACTAGTGACATTGCCTTTTTCAAAAATTTCATTTCTCATCAGTTTCCGTAACTATTGAGAATATTCAAAAGATATTTTGTCATGCCAAATATTTCATATTTGTATTTTGTAATTTGATTTTATGGAGCAGGATTTCCGTTTCCTTCATGATTTACATTGGAATTATCAGGAAACTGGGGAAAAGCAACCATTAAGAGCGTGAACCCTTTCTCCCGTAATTCATCATCTTTCTCTAAAAGATCCCCGCCATAAAATCGGTAACTAAAAGTACGGAAATGTATAGAAACGGCTGGGGTTTGTTCAACATTCACCCCATCCTGGCCCTTTCCTGCCAAAACAAACAAAAATCGCGTTTTATCAGCTCAACATAATACTCTGGTGCATGCTAATAACCCGCCTTCTTTGATCTTTCGCAAGCACATTAGCTGCTAACTGTATGCATTAATAACGTCCTTCTCTCTTTCAGTGGTTTCTATCCTCATAGCGCTGATTATATACCCGGTGTGCTTCGCTGCCGAGTTGACTTCTGGTAAGTTTTTTACTTTCAGTTATAATGGATATTTTGGATTTATTTTTACCTAATAGGATACCTACATATTCAAAAGACACATTTAAAAATCCCTCAAGTAACTTTTCTTCATTCATCTCAAGAAACATAACTTAATGTTTGTGCCAGAAATAAAGGATATTCACTATACAACAAATCAAATTAGGAGTGATATTCTTTCTCTCCTGAATTTTTTGAAAGGGAGTTTAATAGTGAAACATACTAAAATATGCAAAATATGTCCTTACGCGTCTGCCCGCGTTCGGGTCGCGTTCTCGGCGATGACGCTTCATTGCTTAGACCACCCTTCTACCCCTGCGCACCGCCCCCGTTGTCTTACAATAGACGCGACACGTAATGGCTTACTGCGTTGCGTCAAGTTAATCTCATCGTGAAAACTTTTAAACGATTCATCAAATTTTTTAGTGTAAGAGAAAGTTTATCTATATTAAATACCTAAAACGATAATTGTATCAATTTTTATAAAAATTTGACAGATATTCTATAATGTGCATTGCAAAAAAGTATCATTATGTTATGTGTTTAGGTTAATTTTTTTATGAATTGTGTAAACATATCGTCAGTCTGTATCTATATTTCCATCTTGAGCAGTTAATGGGCATTCATTGTTTGTACATGTAGAAATAAACCTTATCTGAACAATTGCTAGCCACTCAAACCTAACGTAACCGAACATTATTAATATGAATCATATCCAAAAATTATTATCTATTTCTGCTCGCTCAAGTAACATCGAGCAAAAAGGGAGAATAACTTTTGGCAGAAATGACCCAGTGTGGAAGATTGGTGCTTACGAAACAAACCTTCTGATGTCTTTACCAACTTTTAATAACTCTCACAAATATTTCAGGTAACCGAACGATATGGGAGTTCGGATGGGCGTACGGAGTGGGCTGGGGCGCCGCCATTTTCCTCTTCGGAGCAGTTATCCTGTTGATGTGCGACAAGGAGAGCGAAGAGATCTACTACAAAGAAAGGAAAATCGTGCACGACAACGATTCGCGTGCCTAGTGGCCACATAGTCTGCCCGACGTTGTTCTCTGATCGTAAAAGGACTCATGTCGCTTCTCTCAGAGAGTGCGCAACGAATGAGAGATATGTGTGAATGGTGTGCTTGCCTGTTATCAGTTATTGGATGTCCAACGCTGATCAGTTTGATTAACTGAAGTTCGTTTTTGTTTTTTCGTTTTACGTCGAGATTGTACAGTTTTAGTTTTAAGTTTTATTTTTTGATACTTCAGAGAGGTATACTCGTCTTGGTCTCTAGTTAGTGTCTTCATTTTTGGTTCAGTAAGTTGGATAACGTACAAATTTGTCGGATTTTTATCTTCCATTCTGTACTTGTTAGTATGAGAAACTTTCATTTTTAGTCATAACCTGGTGGAACAATAGTTGATAGTTTCGTTTTTCATTTAAGATGCTTTTTGCTTTACAGAAATCATAAACCATCATAAATCAAAAAACCATAAAAGTACATACAAATATAAATATCATTGCAGTAAAACGAAAACATTGTTGTCAAGGTTGTGATTCTTTATATTTTCTCATCATTTTTCTTCATCTATTTAGTTTAATTTCCGTACGCCACTGCAAGATACAGGTTAAGGCAACAGCGTCAGTCATTTCTGAGAATTTAGTGCTTACTATTTTGGAATCATAGTATAGATAAGGATAATAATATTGTGTGATTTCTCGTTCCATAGTTCAATTATTTAAAATTAATTGAGTTGAATTGCCAACAAATTTTGTTGCCGCCAATTGGTTTGTCTTCTGCGAATTTAGCCCTGGATCTTTGCGCCCAAGGGATGGGGGGAATCGACGATGAATTTATTAAAGATATGGTCCAAAAATAACCACTTTTTGAACTATACTAACCAGAATATCTGACGGCAGTCAATAGCTAAATTAATTACGAAGTGAAAACTGGGAATCGTACACTGTGACCATAAATTTTACAATAAATTAATCTTACATTGGTTGATGTGAATATTGAAATTTTGGTGTAAAAAGAGACCTCAGTTCATCATTAGACGTGTGTGTGTTTTCATCTATAATATTTTTTCAATGAGAGCTAAAAAAAAATTGGGTACATTGTCCCACAAGTGGATCCACGAACAACTAAGCGGCCAAGAGGTCCTGTGACAAGCTCGGAAATCGAGTCGGAGGACGGTTTCCAGCAAGTGAAAACAAGATAAACCGCAAAAAACGAAGGCGCAAAGAGGCAACAACAGACAACCACGTGGTTGAGAAAACTTTTCACTTGGTTTATATTGGGTTTACTAGGGTTTACTGTTTTCAGTAACTAAATGAGACAAGTGATGATAACTGAAACTGTTTAATGCTAAAAATTACGTACGTAGTCATTGAAACACAAAAACTAATTGGTTCAGAAAATGTTTTGTCTTTCTCTAAACAGCAAAAGATAACAGAGTTACTAACAATCAAATATTCCAAATTCAAACCCCTCATCTGTCAATTGTCACTCTTATTACAACAAAGTAAGTATTTTGGAATTTGTTTTACAAGTTTTCAGGAAATATTTCATATTTAACTGGTTTTTCAGTTGTACCACAATAGTGGTGATTTTAAAACCACTTTTGATACACCTTGAAACATTTCAAACTGTGGTTAAAGGAAGACAATGAAAAGATAAACCCAAAGCTATAAATCACAAATGAAGACTGCTTTTGTAAAATCATTTATTTTATAATTTATTCAAAAGGTACGTTAGTGATCTTTCAATCTTTATATGTGAATTATTTTTATGTGGAAAATTTATATTCAATGGTTCTATTGATTTTTGCGTTTTTTTGTTACTGTGACTGTAATCAAATTCTGGAATCTCTTTTCATTGATACCAAATTTTGTTTGATTAAATTCATACACCTCAATTTTCATCAACTGTCACGGCCTGACTTGGTATTTATTTTTATCCAATAAGGCATTCAATAATATAATTCTTATCTGTTATTCATAATTCACTCTTTTTTTTATTATTCTATTTCGACAGATTAATTCTGTGGAGTCGAAAAATTCTCGTAATTTTGTCAGTACCTGGTACAGTATGATCAAACTGATTAGACTTTTTGATTTATATTCATTTGCTTGCCTGGTAAAAAATTATTGCCAGTCAGCCGTTTTTGTAGTGGTAACAGTTTTTTATATGCAAATTATCGGAATATTATTCCAGAAATGTGTTTATGAAGAAATTTGGATACTGAAGGAAATAGAACCTGAAGAATTTAAATAACCCATACAAACTTCTCAATCTGTTTTCGAATATGAACCACTGAAATATTTATAAGACTTTAAAATAATACCTAATGGAAATAATAGTAAATTGAATAAAATGATGAAAGTGTCATTTGCTAAGGATGATTTTATCATTTCAGAATAGTAAATTCGAGTAATTTCCGATAATTTTGTAATGGAATGAGTGATGTGCGCGACTGAGAGGCAACCCGGGCAGGCTAGATGTGTGCAAAAAGACTTATGTAACAATTCTTCAAAGAATACTCCACATAAACGTGTATATGAATTTTGTGAAACGAGAGGGTATTTGTTAAAAAGTTAAACTCGTCACAATCGAGTCGATTACAAATATTTTTGGATTTTGACAGTGAGTAATGAATATTAATGTATGCAAAACACGCCAAAGGAAGAACATACATTCATTTTGAAGGTGTGCACTTCATGAAGTGTGTGTCGCAACGAATTTTCATGAGAAGTTTGAAGTGAAGTTAATAAAAAATGTTTCATATAAAAGTTTTAGATATCAGTATGTTGGGGTTTTAAAATTATTCACAATATACAGGGTATCAATAAAATTATGACAAATCGAAGCTAGATTTGTTTAATGGAATATCATATTACTTTCCATATATGGATTCCACTGATAATATGCCGAGCAGTTTAAAAGTAGCCAAAAATACTGTCAAAAACTGATCTATTCAAAAGTTTCCATTCTCAATATAAATTTAGTTGTGGAGTCTTGTTATCTTATTAGGATATTTTATAAATATAGTTTTTTCATTATTGAAAGAATATTCCTATCGCCATCCGAATAAAGAACGTAATATATTTTTTTTATTAAAAAAAATCATACACCACCTTTTCATTTGAAACCTTGTATATTGGTGAATAGTTTCAATAATTTTTTGATAACTTCACTTCTCCACTTCAAACTTTTAATTGATACACTTCCGATTCTTGAATAACTTTCTGTTGATACTGTGTCAATCGCCAGAATATTTAGAATGGAGTAGTTGAGGAAGTCAAATCGAAGACTGTTTTTTGAAATGCTTATCATAGTTTTCAATACTGTAAATATAGTTACGAGTTTTCCGCTGATGGTGGGTAGACACCAAAAAGCAATTCCAAAATATTCAGATTGGATTTCTCACTTTCTGTGGCAGTCCAGATGAAACTATAATGTCTTTGATTAATTTTTGATCTACATAAAATCGATTACTGAGTGTAGTTTGTTGGAAGAATTATTGCTGTCAAAAACTAAGTAAGTATTCATTTGTAGTAAAAACAGATTCTCAATTATTGCTACATTCATATTCAGCAATTTATTACAATGTATCTCAAATCGACCAATATCCGTATTATCGACCTTTTTTGAGGATATTCACTTTTCACGATCTGAAAAAATAAAAACTGTATTGTAAGGTGAAAATCTAAAAAGATGTCAATAAAAAGCTCTGATATTCTCCAAAAAATTACTTGTTCGTCCATAACTCATATACATGTTTGAACAATAACAAGTAGTGTGTCAATATATTTAGATAACTTGATGGTGAAAATCAATTTTTGTTTTCGAATTAACGGGCATTAAAGTTTAATTTTTGATAGGGAATTATCGATTTTTGTACTAAATTAGATTTAAGGTTTTTGCGTTGGAAGTGTTGCTCTCGGTTTTGTGTTTCGTCTATGGCTGCTATGATTGTGTGATATTATACATGATATTTATTTACTCGAGTGATGCCTACTTTTATGTATCTGCCATTTATACAGGGTGATGAAGGCACCTCGATTGATTTTGTTGAACTTCTAATAGATATTATTATAAGTATTGTGTTCTGTAATGAGCAACACGGAGTGTTTTTCAAATTATTTGGCTGAACTAATTTATATATGTGACATTTTATCCAGTTTTTTCTTGAACCTAACGGTAGGTTTACAATATATATATAAAATAAGCATATCGTTATTGAAATAAATAATTTAAGAGTATATTTGAAAGCTATTTTACACAGAGACTAATATTTCTAGTCGACTTGTGGATATTGAGAATGTACGTAAGTATTTGTATAAATAAATTGACAAAAACATTGAATTGGTATTTTCTGGATAACTAATGTGAGTAAAGTGAATTAGATCCAGAAATATTAAGATGTTTTTTTTTAATTTAGCAGTCAATTGTTTTCCAATCTATACTTATTGTACAAAAAATCTGGACTAAAATATATTATTACTTTCAAGAAAGCATTTCTTCTGATGTCAGCAAATTAGTAATAATATTGAAATAAATATTGAGGTAATTTGTTTAAAAATTTACAATAATTGAAAGTATCATAATTATTTACTTTGAGATCTTGACTTTATATATTTCAATACTATTTATAACATTACTTTGAATGATTTCTGTAATAATATTCAAAAATAAAACGGAATATTTGTAAAAAAATATGTTGTTTTCATTTCCTTGAAATGCGAATTGGAAGATGAACTTCATGAAAGAATGAAAAATAAAACTGGAACCTCTGACCTAGAATAAATCCAAAACCACTTTTCCTATTCGTAAACACCAGAACTGCAATACTCTTCTCGACGCGCGTTACACTAACCAAGTTGGCATCTTCAGGAGATGAAGTAAATAAACTGTTCACTTCATATTCTGAAGCCGCCATTTTGGTTGGTGAAACGCGCGTCGAGAAGAGTTTTGCTGTTATAATGTTTGGGAAAAGTGTTTGTTAGATTGTAGATGGCACCACTTCTGAACTACAACTTAATTTTCAACCAGCTAATACATAAAAGAGTTCTGAATTGATGAGAAATAACTAATTTTTTATCAATATTCTGGCAATTCTAATCACGTATGTTTCTAGCTTGACATCGAGTAATCCAGAAGTAGCATCATCTGTTGAGTAATGGTTTATCGTCAATAGTTTTCTGCGAAAATATAACGAAATCATCAGTTTGGAATATTACTTTTTTCATTTCAGATCTATAGATGGAACCACTTTCATAGCGTAACTAAATCTACAGCTTGATATTATAAAAGATCTGACATGAGAGCAATTTAAAGTAGGAATGAATGGGGAACCTGGCTGACTTATTTCTAGGGCAATTTAGCTTATTACCCCCCCTCCTTCCCATCTTAGTGTAATTTACTTATACTTCCATTGTGAGAGTGTAACTGTGGTAAGGATGTGGCGCCATCTGTTGATGGATTATTAAGGTGATTTGGTTGATACTCTAGATCGTTTCTTGAGAGAATATGGTAGATTTCTAGGGCAATTTAAAGTAGGAATGAATGGGGAACCTGGCTGACTTATTTCTAGGGCAATTTAGCTTATTACCCTCCCTCCTTCCCATCTTAGTGTAATTTACTTATACTTTCATTGTGAGAGTGTAACTGTGGTAAGGATGTGGCGCCATCTGTTGATGGATTATTAAGGTGATTTGGTGGATACTCTAGATCGTTTCTTGAGACAATATGGTAGATTTCTAGGGCAATTTAGCTTATAACCCTTCCACCTTCCCATCTTAGTGTGATTTACTTATACTTTCATTGTGAGAGTGTAACTGTGGTAAGGATGTGGTGCCATCTGTTGATGGATTACTAAGGTGATTTGGTTGATACTCTAGATCGTTTCTTGAGACAATATAGTAGATTTCTAGGGCAATTCAGCTTATAACCCTCCCTCCTTCCCATCTTATTGTGATTTACTTATCCTTTCATTGTGAGTCTAACTGTGGTCAAGATGTGGCGCCATCTGTTGATGAATTAAGGTAATTTGGTTGATACTCTAGATCGTTTCTTGAGACAATATGGTAGGTTTCTAGGGCAATTTAGCTTATATCCCTCCCACCTTCCCATCTTAGTGTGATTTACTTATACTTTCATTGTGAGAGTGTAACTGTGGTAAGTTCTAACTGTGGTCAAGATGTGGCGCCATCTGTTGATGGATTATTGAGGTAATTTGGGTGATACTCTAGACCGTTTCTTGAGACAATATGATATGTATTCTCCCTCTCCCCCCCATGCCTCCTCCCGGGTTGAATGCCCTGAAGTAGAAGCTTCCCCCCCAGCTATTTAGCGAGGAGAACCTACTACCCCACTCTATCCACCCCCGCTCTCCGAGCGGTCCTCAACTTGCTGATGGGCACTTCAGCAAGATTGACATCTGACCTCTTTTGGTCGAAAGTCAGCCTTTAGGTGCTTTTACTTTCTTATCGATTCGTTGCTTTATCTGACTATTCCTAACTGAATTTGAGCATGGGGGCCCCAAAAACTAACCGGCGGCTTTGTGTTAATGCATCGAGCGTTTCTCAGTGCATCTAAGAAAAATTTTTAGAGTCGCGATCGCGGTCGAAGTGTTCTTCGCTGAACCTACCTGGAAGAGAGCGTATCTGGTTAGTGTCATACTTACCTAACTCGCCTGACGACGACTAACGGGGGCGGTCTGTTATTCTGTTTAGTCGGCCTGGGATGTTTGTCCCTCTCTCGGAATCTGGGGTCATCCATATTTAACGCATCGTGTAGATCGCGGAACGCTGGATTTGAGTGCGATCTGATTCTATCGAACGTGCCCTCCTTCCCATCTTAGTATGATTCACTTATCCTTTCATTGTGAGCGTTTAACTGTGGTCAAGATGTGCCGCCATCTGTTGATAGACTCTTGAGGTAATTTGGCGTGCGACCCTCCCATCCTAGTATGATTTAATTCCCAACCGCCCATCTCAGTATGTAGTCGTTTATCTGTAATCCAGATGTGGGGCCATCCATTAATAGATTCTTGAGACAATTTGGTATATAACTCTTCCACAGTTGTTGGACTACAGTAGGGATGAACTACGATGTCTAACAGTCCTTCTTACAGGTCACCGTCATTTGAATAATCATATGCAGAGACTCGGAGTGTTGGAAGACAGTGTGTGTCGCCTCTGTTTGGAAAATGATGAAATAGCAGAGCACATACTTTGTGCCTGCCCCGTTGGAAACCGAATCAGGTTTTTAGAGTTCGGCAGAGCCATACTCTTACCATCTGCCCTGAAAGATCACTCACCATACAAACTAATCGGCTTCATTAAGAAGCTGTGTTTATTTGGTCGAGTGTGAATAGGTTTGAGCCACAATAAACCCTTGCGGGTTGCGGTGGAGGGTCGAAGAGACACAGTTACTTTGGACCTAACCTAACCTCTACTCGAATGTGTGTAAGGAAACAAATAACTTCACATTACCTAACCAAATATTTATTTCCATCAAATATCAGCGAAAAGGCATAATTACAGACTGTCCCACCTCTGCCAATATATACATGTAAGACAAGTGATTAAAATATAAACTATCATGTGTGATACTTTCATCTAATATGTTAACATAAAGTACCACAACACTAAGACATCTATAAAATACTTCCAACAACTTCCTATTGAAAAACAGGATAAATTATATAAAAAAGAATCCCATTTGTTTTTACAATGAACTCAAACAGAGGTTTACTACCCGGTTTTTCTTATCTTTTGAAAATTGTCAACAGAATAATTATTCATCTACATAAGTAAATACAAATTTGCGGTGAAAATTCGATTTCAGTTTCAAGTTAGTGAATCGATTTTTCTTAATAACCTCCCTAGAAGATTCCATTAAAATAACTACACATGTTCGCAGTTCAGAGATTAAATTATATAAAAATATAGTAATATCCTGTTATCGCTAAAAAAATTAGTGAATCGATTTTTCTTAATAACCTCCCTAGAAGATTCCATTAAAATAACTACACATGTTCGCAGTTCAGAGGATAAATTATATAAAAATATAGATAAGTTAGATTTATACAGACACTTTAAAGCTAAGTATATTTATAATATTTATATCAATTCGTTACAAATATACACAATATTTGATTCATCCAGTATGATAACTCATCGAAAGTATTCAACAATAAATAACTGTGAACATAATAATAAATACAACAGTCCAGTAGAGTCTAAAAATAAAACAAATTTGCTCCAGACTGGGAAGTGAAGTAACAATCATTTTGTTTAATTCACCATTATTTACATTTTCAGGGTGGTCTGAAACAAGTTACCATCAATTTTTGAAGAACCAGCCATACATCTGAATACTGACAAATCAGTCAGTTGCTGCTTACACTCGATATCAAACAATTTCAACAGAATCAGCTTCACAATGCAGTTTATATACATCTAACATCAAATATGGATGGGGACGTGTACTAGCAGCTGTGCTCTGTCTGAAAACACTTCACTGCACATCTCGCACTTGAAGAGATTCTGGGCGTTGGCATGCTGCATCGAAATTTCGGCGAGTTCATGCAGGGGACTGGGATCGACGATCTCCTGTTTAATGTGATGCACTTGTTGCTGAGCTCCTTCAGTGGGCGCAGGTTCTGAGCAGTCGTTTTCAGATTCTGATTTTCTATTTTTCGCTTTGGATACTATCATTCCTCCTTTGACTAGTCGAACCTAAAACAAATACAATAGTATTTCGAAGTTGAAAAAAATCAATATTTTTGTCGAGTCGACAATTGAAATTCATTTATAGCATTACTCGCAGAAAGAAAAAATTATAAATGGAAATTTTCAACATAGTACTAAAATTAGGCCATATGTTTGACAGTTGGATGCGAAGATCTGAAGCTGCATCCAGTCTGTTTCTGTATTGAATTTTTGTGTAAGCGTGAGCTGAAAATCCAGTCTCGCATCGGTAAATCGTCACAAATAGAACAGAACTGAAATAACTTTTCAACAATGAGAGGGTATTCAGATCTCAGACAGAGCACTCGGAACCTCTGTGACTCCAGGATTCCGCGGACCACCATTTAGGAGTCTAGGATCTAGACCTCATTTCCTTTCTTTTCATTTTAAAATATCTCTCTTGACAACTCTTCTCTTTTTTAATAATAATAACGTTTATTATTATCACAAAAATCATAGATTGCGCGTGGGGTTTCATTTATCTAGTATTCCATGTTATGAGCTTTATAACTAAATAAGTGTAAAACATTTAAGGAGGTGATTCCTCAGCGAAAAAAAGATAGGATCTTTCATAAAAAGAAATTTCATTGGAGCATCCTTTGTTAATAAGATACAGCCCCTTAAAGGGGGTACATAAAATTTGTATAACAATTTTTTCACAAGCACTGAAAAAGTTACAATATTGAAATTAACCTGACGTTTTGTACTACCAAAAAGACGCTTAGCCAGTAATTTATTTGGTTTACCCCATGGTTGTAAGGGGTGGAAAACGCAACCCCTAAAATTTATTTCCAAT